TGTACTGGGTATAATTTCACACCTTTGTGAAAGACAAAGGATTTGGATTTTCGCAACATTTTCACAGTTTTAAAATATAAACTCATAAACCGGGTGGATTATCATGATTATAACCCCCCCCCCCCCCCCCCCCATTCCCTAGTGCCGTCTGCATGAACTTCATATTTTTTTTAAACATAAGGTTGTATGTTTCAATAACAATTACATTTGGATTCACAAAAAAAAAGACTGATCTTAATGACTTTCCCTGTATATGTCGGTCTTCTACAAATACAAAAAATAGGAATGTTAACGCTGTCCTATATGTACTGTGTACATGTCTCTCAAAAATTACGACGAGCTACATGTACATGTATTTCAATGCGTAGTTAATCCCATACGTTGACAGGGGTGGCTATAGAGGTAAAATGGTAGAAATAATATTAATTCTTTTACATATGTATGCATGTATAGCAAAAGGACGATATATCAATTTATTATGCACAACGGTATGCACAACAAAACACCCCGTTTCATCTGTATACTATTATTATGCGGATTTTTTTTTTTTAATTTTTCTCTTATTTTATTTGCACATTAAGAGTTCTTTAAGTAACACTTTAAACTGCATACAAATATTTCTACTACTCAGTGTTTTCATTTAACACGCTTTTCTCATGAACATTGTTCGTACTTACAAGTATGCTTTCAAGCGGAAATGCGCTGCAGTTTAAAGTGAATTTTGCCGATTTAAAAAAACACAAATAATAATACGAGAGAGAGAGAGAGATTTACTGCACATTGCCTATAAACATGTTTCAGAATATCTAGATCTTCCATTTATCGAATATTTATCGAAACTTATACTATGCGTTTCATTGTAAAAGTGATATACGGTATATAGTCATTGATTTAGAGAAATAAAGTTTATGCTTATGCTGAGGATATAATTTATTTTTTTTTTAAACCTGTTTTAAAAACTTACATTTATCAAACATCAGAATAACTTGGGAAAACAATCATGCGCTATTTTTTTTTTTTTTTTTTTTTTAATTCTTCGGGTACATGTAGTACGTTTATGTATCACTGTATGATATTTTTAATAGCACCATTTTTTTTTTTTACTCAAAACCTGCAATTTTATAGACCGAACAATATGCAGTTATAGATATCATACGGCCGTACAGGTAAGATCAATCCGATAAGCCAGTCAACGGTAAGTCACACCGCCGCGGTCTATACCTGGCTACAGGTAGGACCGCGATGAAATAACCGCGGGGGTGTATCGCGGAAAGGATCAAAACACCGCGGGGGGAGCGCGGTTTAATGCCTAATCCGCGTTGACCGTACTGTACATTTCAAATAGGCTACTATATTTGAATTTGGAACTCCTTAAGTACCCTTTCAGATCGATAATTATATGAATTCTTATTCATTGTTATATGACTATTTATAATGTTGATTTAAAAATTACATCAGTGGTATTTCTTTTAAATGAAAATGAGGCGACATCATTTGAGCCCTTATATTGAGAATGGGTGATCAGAGGACAACAAATATCTCTTGGAACCACTCGCCCTCAAACTGAGTACCCTGAGCTATGAAAGTGTATAGGAGAATAGACTACAAAATACGAATGTGGTTCATGTCATAGCTTCTTCACAACCATGCAGCCTGTGCTGTATCATTTACACACGATGGACAGAAAAATGTGACTTTATAACTGCATCAAAATATAAAGCTTTTCGACCCAAGAATGGTACGGTACAGTACGGACAAGAGATATAATTTTTTAGTTGTCAATAAATTTATGATACATTTTTACGAAGATTATGAAATTTTTCCTAGACTGTAAGTCTGTTTCATTTTCTTACAACTTGTTAAAAGTTTGACAAATAGAGAAAATTCGGTCGAACAAAGTTGTGTCGTGAAAAATGAGATAATTTAAAGCACAATATTAATATAGCTGGCCTGTGAATTTAAATGATGAAGAAACATTAGTAATTCAATATGAGAAAAAAATGTTGTCAATATTGAATTACTAATGTTTTATAAATTAATCATAATTTAATTACATTCTCCCTTCTAGACAGTTCATAACAGAGTGTATTATCCTGAAGAATCTAAGTTATCAATTACATAGAGTAGAAAATAGTGATTTTAACCTCTTATGATCCCATACTTTCAAAATCAAAACAAAAGCATGTTATTAATTAAATCAGGGGCTTGTTCAACAATTGCATATGCATACAAAAGTTGTATTATGGGAGTAATAAGTGTTTTCTGGCGATCGTTTGTGACAATAATTTTTACATTTTTAGTCTTCATGAAAATTCATGAACATTCATTACCTTGAACTATTAAGTTTTTTCTTTAAACTGAAAATTACCAATATTCCTATTTGTTCATCATTTGTTCATGAACTATGAATTATGAATGTTTTCATGAATTTTATTCATGAACTACTTTTATGAACCTGTTAAGAATCCTTTAAGAACCATTCATGAACAATTATGAACAACTCATAAAGGTTCTTAAAATCATGAATATCATTTCGCAGGGGCAAAAGTCTCTACACTTGTTGTGTTATAACTTTGTAACTATATGGTCCTATATTTTATCGTCTTATCAAGACACAGCATGAAATAATTCCTTATTTATACACATATTTTGGATTTCTATTTGAATTGTAGATGTTTTTACATTATATATATATATATATATATATATATATATAGAAAGCACAAAGAAATTCACTTTTACATGGATACCCACTTCCGCCCCAGCCCGGGATTGAACTCTCGACCTTCGGAATCTGTCTCCTAGCAGTGCAGGAACAGCGCGCTAGACCGCTCGGCTATCTAGGCAAGTCAAAAAACTTGCTTTCGATGCCGATGGAATTCTCGCGGCGCTGCCCTAAACTACACGGTCATTGAGAATAAAAGTGAGATACAGTTATTTGGACATTAGTTTTTAACAGAGGATTGTTACCAATACATGTATCTCACTGTATCTCACTTCTGTTCTCAATGACCGTGTAGTTTAGGGCAGCGCCGCGAGAATTCCATCGACATCGAAAGCAAGGTTTTTGACTTGCCTAGATAGCCGAGGGGTCTAGCGCGCTGTTCCTGCACTGCTAGGAGACAGATTCCGAAGGTCGGGAGTTCAACCCCGGGCTGGGGCGGAAGTGGGTATCCATGTAATTTAAGTGAATTTCTTTGTGCTTTCTATATTTATATTTCTTCACTAAGGGCAGTTATGTTAGTTTACGAGTTGTTGTAAAATGTGCTTTATAAATAATAATTAATTTCATTACAACATGTATTGGTAACAATCCTCTGTTAAAAACTAATGTCCAAATAACTGTATCTCACTTCTATCCTCAATGACTGTGTAGTTTAGGGCAGCGCCGCGAGAATTCCATCGGCATCGAAAGCAAGTTTTTTGACTTGCATAGTCGAGCGGTCTAGCGCGCTGTTCCTGCACTGCTAGGAGACAGATTCCGAAGGTCGAGAGTTCAACCCCGGGCTGAGTCGGAAGTGGGTATCCATGTAAAAGTGAATTTCTTTGTGCTTTCTATATTAATATTTCTTCACTAAGGGCAGTTATGTTAGTTTAAGAGTTGTTGTAAAATGTGCTTTATATATATATATATATATATATATATATATATATATATATATATAAACTTCTTTTTTTTTAATTGATTCTATTGCTTTATATATATGAATATTTCCGAGAAAGAAGTCAGAAACTAGTGCAATTAAATTTACTTCGCGGGGCGGGAATTCTTATGAATTTTCACTTCCCTCAGAATTCAGTAAAGCAGATTGGTGACACATCAACAGTTAGATTAGCATTGTCATTTGGGGATATTGTACTCATCGATATCACCATAATCGTTATGCCCCTCATCGAGCTTTTAAAAAAAGCGTAAGTATCCTCAGATGTATCCAAAAATAAAGATGAATATTCACAGTTGGATAATTTCATTTTTTTGTGTCTTATATATTTAATTTGGCTGATCTTACACTTTCACCTTTATGATTTGCGACCAAGCAAATACAGACTGGCTTAAATACACGTAACATATTATTATATACAATTTTGGGTAATTAGAAACATGCTCGATCTAATGTGCTGATTGTTATTTTTATTTGGTATATATACTTTGTATTCTATCATGATTCACTGCCTATATTTTCTTTAGTTCGATTGCGGGGGGGGGGGGGCAAGACTGTGGAGGCTTTATTTCATTGACTTTAATTTTATTCATTAATAAGAAAAAATATCTTTTTTATTTGTGCATTGATATTCACTAGTACTTTTGCTTAATGCAACATACTGACCTCGATGTCAAAGATTTTGCTTACTAGTATGAAATGTACTACCAGTATGTATCAAGATTAAATATCAAATCACCTTTTCTTGTATATCATTTAATTCATTTGAAATCAGTTCAATTTAACATTTTATATTTATTATCGAATGACATATTCGTGTTCATTGATCGACCCTGACAGCGTTGAAAGATTTTATCCTCCACAGGCCATCCAACTGATTCTAGCTCCATATAACTTTGTGTCTGCCCAAAAGTATATACTTAACTGAACAGGCACGTAGCATCGATTTTGAAAGTGGGGAGGGGGGGGGCAACCACTGATTTTTTTTTTAACTTACCTGAAAAAGTTGACAAGCAACAAAAAAAAAAAAAACGAAAATATAAATTTACCAAAAACGTAAATCCTATTTCCTGGGGGAGGGGGGGGGGGGGGGGGGGGGTAGAGGCAAACTTTTTTCACTACCAATTCCTTTCAATATCCATTTTTAAAGCTTAAAATTCTACATTTCCTTTATCTTCCTTTACTTTAGTATAAAGTGGGGGGGGGGAAACAGCCTTTCAATGAACATTTACAATAGTAAAAGTATTGTTGGCAAAAAAAGTGGGGGGCCAGGTCCCCCCGCCCCCCCCCCCCCCCGTTGCTACGTCCCTGCTGAAAGCCTACCTTAGTATTTTTTTGTGTAACAGTATTCACACGCAAATTATTACTGGTACTGGAATCTAGTAAAGTCCATACGTCAAGGTTGGTGTTTCTTGAAATGCTGTCTTTAACACTATGTTTTTTTTCATGTAGCCAGATAACGGGAGGCGGGTAAACGTGTTATCCAAAAACACCAGATTCACCTGTAAGAAATTTAAAAAAAATCACTAAATGGTGACAATTATGTTTTAGCTATAGTTATCTGATTTCATCTATTGTCGTCCTTATTTTAAAATTTTGAAAATTTTCAGATTCTTCTCATTCAACCAATTTCAACCAGTTTTGGTATAGAGCATCCATAGGTAAGACAAACAAAAATGTTAATTTCATTGCCCCTACCTTCTTCGAGACTGAAGGATGAGTGAGTCAAAAACCAGGAAAGTCAATGCACATTCGAAAACTTCAAGGAACTATTGGCATTATTCTAATGTGATATATGGCGTATTTTTGATAAGTTCAGACTAACTAAAACTAAAAAGAGCTTTCTATTTTTTTTGTTACTTTATATAAAGATAGGACTTTCCTGTAAATTACACAATTTAAATCAATCGTGTTTCATAGATATCACAGATTTAAAACAATAACCGATTTATTTCCGACTCGGATTTAAATATCAGACATGTACAGTTTAAAGTCAATTTAACTAAACAAACATGGGGAAATCTAAGTTCAAAATTGGTGAAAATTTGAATGTAAAAAAACAAATATAAATAATGTAAATCTACACTTAATCTCGTATTTTTATTTTTTAGCTCGGATACGCCATATATAGCTTTAACAAGCAGTGAGTCTTTTGCCAAAATTATTTTATTAGCTCACTTGAGCTGAAAGCTCAAGTGAACTTTTCTGAACTTATTTTACTTCAAGGAACTATTGGCATTATTTTAACAAGCAGTGAGTCTTTTGCCAAAATTATTAGCTCACTTGAGCTGAAAGCTCAAGTGAGCTTTTCTGAACAAATTTTTCTATAGTCCGTCTGTCTGTCTGTCTGCCCGTCCGTCTATCTGTAAACCTTTCCCATTTTCGACTTCTTCTCAAAAACCACTGGGTTAATTTTAAGCAAACTTGATACAAAGCATCCTTGTATGAAGAGGGATTTGAGTTGTTAAAATGAAAGGCCAATTAAAGTCTCCATCAAAGGGGAGATAGTCAAGAAAATAGAAAACAAGAAATCTGTGAGCCAATGCTCACTTGTAATACCCCCGCTCTGATATGACTAACACTATCATGTTAATATACACAGGTTAAATTACAGGCAAATGCACAGAAAAATAGGATGTTGACATCAGATTCATATCAAAATTAATCCCACAATATGGCATGCCTCAACAAACAGTGTGCTAAATTTCAAGCATCTGATATGAGTAATTAATGAGAAAACTGCGACCAAAACTTGTAAACGGACAGAGACAGACAAAATATGTATTCCACCATATGGCATGCCTCAGGGAAGGTTGTGTTAAGATTTCAAGCGTCTGCAATGAGTAGTTGCTGAGAAAAGCTGAAAATTATGTGGAAGCATCCGGAGGTAGTGTAGATTCTAAATTGTTCAAATCATGACCCCCGGGGATATGGCGGGGCCAGAATAGGGAATCTAATTTTTACAAAGAAATATATATAGCTGTAGGGAAAAATCTTTTTAAAATCTTCTTCTCAAGAACCACTGGACCAGAAAAGCTGAAACTTATGTTGAAGCATTCTGATGTAGTGTGGATTCTAATTTGTTCGAATCGCTTTAGGATTGTCAAGATACGCATTACATAGAGGGAATTGTGTTAAATGACAGAATGGCCAAAGTTACTTAGGTGAGCGATGTGACCCACGGGCCTTTTGTTATATAAACGGTCAAAAGGTATAAGAAGTTCTTCGGTTAAAGTTATTAGTCATAGAGTAAAAATGCTAAAAAAATGAAAAGTATTTTCCATATATATGTTTCCGTAAACATTTCCATCAACGTTTATTGTCCCAAACTCTAATCTGAACAAAATTAAGAGGATTTACCAAAGATATTTATCTGATATATTACTTCTTTTGTTGGATAAAAAAAAATGTTGATCAGCCTTAATTAAACTAGATATACTTTTTAAACCCCAATATTCTTTAATCATTATATTTATGATTTTTCTAATGAAAAATTTCATGATCAAATTTTTAAAAATACAAAGAATAAAAATCAATACTTACATCTAAATCTTTTGCCTAAAAAATTGAAATACTAGTAAATTGAAAACATGTTATAGACTGAAGTTCAGTAATTTGAAACTACTAGTAATGATAAGGATAAAAATTTGTTTAAACAAATTCCATACGTGTTTCCATTTCTGTTTTAAGAGAGACAATTGTGGACTTCATATCGCCAATAGTAGAACTCATTTTAATCATCATTTTCTCCAGCTCTATTCCTTTGATTTCTCCATAAAAAGCTGCTCCAAAACATTCCGAATTCAATTGTCTCCATTTGTTGCTCTAACCAACTTTCAGACGCCAGGTGTATAAAGAATAAGTAACATATTATTTTAAAGGAAATTGCAGTGGTATACGTCTTTATGTTTAGTAAGACTTAAAATTCATGCATAATAATTTTCCAAAAATGTATACCTCATTTTTCCAAGAATTATCAGACAGACTGTTCTGCTTTAAAGCACATGTATATGATGTAAACATCTGTAAACATGTCTAACCATCTTTCAGATGCCAGGTGTATAACGAATAAGTAACATATTATATTTAAAGAAATTGCAGTGGTATAAGTCTTTGTGTTTGATAAGAGTTTAAAGCCATGCATAATATTTTGCAAAAATGTATAGTTACCTCATTTTTCCAAAAATTATCAAACATACTGTTCACAGACACTATCATAAAGCATATGTATAATATGATGTATACATCTGAAAACATGTTTGTACATTAAATGCTATTCAAAGAGAAAATGAAAGTCCAGTGGCATAGGGATCGTGCAAGGTATGCAATAATGTGTCTGGTTTAAAATTACTGATGTGTTTCTTAAACTTTGGAAATGTAGAGTGTAATTAGCAAAGATCTAGATCTTTTTTTTACATGAAGGTTGCAGCTGTGATTATTTTGCTATTTTGAAGCTACATTTCTATTTGTTTTGTTATTTATTTAGTAAGGATACATTACGTGGTTGAATCATAATAAGGTACTCCTGGGGATCATGATCCGTGTGATTAAAGCCCGTGTTCTCTTGTTAACTGTTCCTCATCCATATCTTGTTTTTTTCGTTTCGCCAGTACGATAATTGACAATACAAGTTTTTCTTTTGAACAACTACAGAGTTGTTTTTTTTTTTACATACACTGAGTATGAAGTCTCGAACTTTGTCAGTTTGTGAACGAAAAAAAGAAAAATACTAAGTCATGGGTATACCCTTGAAAATTTTCTAGAATACAAAAAAATCATCATTTAATTATTTATTCCGAACAAAAACATTGTACTTGTAAATAAAACAAATGAAATTATCAAATATTTCTTGCACTTTTCCTGCACTCCGGATTCTCTCTTATCCGGCCAATTTTTATGGATTCAGTGGTATCCAGTGGGCAAATTATGCTGTAAAACATTAACATGTTATGTTAATTTTTACAACTACACTGTACGAGGGTTGTTAGAAAAGTTCGTGGACACATTGAATTACGGAAAATCTATTGTGTACTGTGAAGTATGGCCTATGTCTGAATAAATTCCTACATTTTGTTTATTGGTATGTAAAAAATAAAGTCCAAATAATGAAATCTTGAAAATCTACAACGATTTTTATTATGAGGTCATGGGATTCACGGAGCAATCACTTGACGTAAGGCGACGTAACAACCAGATTTCAACCCGTTAAGCTTTGTCGCAGTTCAAAAAATCTTTCATTTCTTCAGATTTTTCTTATCTTTTTTCTACTTTAAAATTGAATATCTAGATCAACATGTTACTTTTCTACTATAATGTCTTTTGTATTGATTTGGATATTATTGAGATCTTTAAAAAAGTCTATGCAGTTAATCGATCAGGTATTGAAACTATGCAAAACCATATAGGCGCAGAGCAACGTCCATGCAAAAAGGGGGTATTGAAGTGTCACCGCAGTTAATCATTCAAAATGTTAATCCTTCCATTCTTATGAAGCTACAACCATTTGAAAACTTGTCCTTTGTATGTGTAGGAAATTCCCGGCGGAATCGTGAACATTTTAATCTCTTTTTAGACATTTCCCTGTCCGCACACATAATTTTTACGTACTGCAGTGCTTCATGACGCTCAATGACGTTCCGATTTTTGGCTTTGTTTTTACGCGTCGATCAATCTTAAACGGCTATAAAACAGTCATATACCGTCCAATTTAGTTCAAAACTTCTCCCAGTGACGTTTCATGTATACTTTAGCGGCAGGTAAAATATCATAAATCTCTTTGCGCTACAATTGTGCAATTTTTGATTTTAAGAAAGAGTCTTTATAATGTAAACGTGCCAAAATGTAGCATGCTCCGTGAAGCAAGTTTTTTCAAAATAAAAAAGCTGTATATATTTCAATAATCACCGGAGAGCACCCAATTCTTGTATATTTATTGAAAAAGAGCTTAAGATTTTATCTGAAAAGTTTGACCAGTTTCGTGGAAATAGCGCGCTCACAATAGAACTTGTCCTCGAACTTTTCTAACGCCCCTCGTATGTCCGACCTAATTTCCTTATATGGAAGCTCATTATAATCTTAAACTGATTATCTTTCGTTTTTAGAAATTTACTGGACCAAATATACTGTAAGAGAACCTCGCTATAGCCCTCTAATGGAAATTGGTAACATTTCAAAATGAGGGGGAAATTCTTAATGGGACATTAAGCAAAAGAAAGAAACATCTGATGATAAGTTAATTTCTTTATATATATTTCTTTATTGAACATTTTTTTTTTCAGAATGACATATGCTGTACATGTTCATTGATCGACCATGATAGCGTTACAAGATTTTATCGTCCACAGGCCATCCAACTGATTTTAGCTCCATACAATATGGTATTGCCCCAAGGTTTTAGACTTAACTGAAATCCTACCCGGGTAACTTTTCGTGTATCAGTGCGCACACGCAAATTAGTACTCATACTGGAATCTAGTAAATAAAGTCCATATGTCAAGGTTGGGATTTCTTGAAATGCTGTCTTGAACACGATGTTTTTTTCATGTGGCCAGGTAACCTGAGATGGGTAATCGTGTTGTCCAAAAACACCAGATTCACCTGTAGGAATTTTTTTAAAAACAAATATCAGTAAATGATGACAATTATGTTTTAGCTATAGGTAACCTGAGTCACTTAGGTGACCAATAGTTATCTGATTTCATCTGTTGTCGTCCTTATTTTGTAAATTATAAAATTTTTCAGTCTTTTCTCATTCACTTTCAACCAACTTTGGTATAGAGCATCCATAGGCAAGACAAAAAAAATGTGAATTCCATGGCCCCTACCCTCTTCGGGACTGAAGGATAAGTCAAAAACCATGAAAAGCAATGCATTTATAAAAAAAAAATGTTTTTTTTCTTGTAAACATCAAGGAACTACTGGCATTGTTATAACAAGCAGTAAGTATTCTACCAAAATTATGATATGTTAGGTTAAAAGACTAGAGGTTCTGTGTTAAAGTAATTGAACATAAATTGAAAACGCAAAATAAGTATTTTTCAATATACATAATTCCATTTCCAACGACCTTTATACTAGTATTATTGTCCAAAACTCCAATCTGAACAAAAAGTATAGGCTTTTAAAAATATATTTTTATTTTAGAAATTACTTTCTTTTGTTGGATTAAAAAATGCTGATTTGTTATAGTAATACTACATTTAATTTTTCAAACCCCAGCATTCTTTATCATTCTATTTATGATTTTTCTAATCAAAATTCTTATGATCGAATTGAATTTTTATACTTTGAAAAATACAAATAATAAAAATCAATACTTACATCTAAATCTTTTGCCTGAAAAATGGAAATGCTTGTAAATCGAAACATGTTTTAGACTGACGTACAATAACTTGAAATTACAAGTAATAATAATGGGTGAAAATGTGTTTAAACAAATTCCATACGTGTTTCCATTTCTGTTTTAAGCGAGGCAATCGTGGACTTCATTTCGCCGACAATAGAATTCATTTTAGTCATCATTTTCTCCAGTTCTATTCCTTTAGTTTTTTCCATAAAAAGCTTCTCCAAAACATTCCGAATTAAATTGTCTCCATTTGTTGCTCTAACCAACTTTCAGACGCCAGGTATAACGAATAAAAACGTATTACATTAAAAGAAATTGCAGTGGTATACGTCTTTATGTTTGACATGAATTTAAATTCATGCATAATCATGACAATATTTTGCAAAAATGTATACCTCACTTCTCCAAGAATTATCAGACAGACTGTTCACAGACACTGTCATAAAGCATATGTATAATATGATGTATACATCTGAAAACATCTTCTACCTGTATGCCAAAAAATTAATGCAAAGATTAAAAATATACATCTTAAATTAAAAGTATGTAATAAAGACAAAAATATTTCTCTTAACAGTTATCTGTAACTATATATATATATAGAAAAAAAAGTAATAAATAATTCTAATTATCAATAAAACCTAATTTGAAAAACTGATATTGATTTTACATATACACATATCCATGTTATTACGAATGTGTATCAGGCATGAAAAGATCATTCTTTTTCTTCTTTTGACATACTGACTTTGCTTCTGTCGACATACTGACATTGTTTTGCTTCTGTCGACATACTGACTTTGCTTCTGTCGACATACTGACTGACTTTGCTTCTGTCAACATACTGACATTGCTTGTGTCGACATAATGACTTTGCTTCTGTCGACAATCTGACTGACTTCTGTCGACATACTGACATTGCTTGTGTCGACACACTGACTTTGCTTCGGTCGAGATACTGACTTTGCTTCTGTCTACTGACTTGCTTGTGTCGACATACTGACTTTGCTTCTGTAGACAATCTGACTTTGCTTCTGTCGACATACTGACTTGACACACTGACTTTGCTTCTGTCGACATACTGACTTTGCTTCTGTCGACACACTGACGTTGCTTCTGTCGACACACTGACTTTGCTTCTGTCGACATACTGACTTTGCTTACTGTTAAGTACTGCTATCTTAAATGTAACAAATTAAACCAAATAAACAAAGTCCTTTGGAATAATTGAACAGAAAAACATAACATATTGAATCTTTAATGATGTTGAAATGTTCATGTGTGTTAAACGCGTTTCTATCCGTCGGATTTAAACGCATGATGTCAAATTAAATCCTACATGTAAACTCTCTATGAATACTGACAGGCAAGAAACGCAACACCCTACTTTAGGGGGAAATAATTATGTAAAGTAAAAAAAATTGTATCTTAAAATTATGGATATCTTCAATTTGGTAAATATCGGTAATTTAACGGTTGAACGATTTTCATACTATAACAGGAGATCAAGTTTGAGTCTGCTTAACAGAAATCAAAAATTACCTGTTTAACAAAACATTTGGCAATATTATGGAGTTTCAAGGGTTTTAACTGTTCATCATAAGTAATACAGCAATATTTCAAAAAAATAAACTCTCTTTTCGTTTACCGTTACGATGCTAAGGCTTCTTGAAAATTGCTTAAGTAAGCATTTCCATTGCCCCAACTGGAAAATTTCAATGTAAAGGTGATGGAGAGTTGCTGATGCAAAAATTCACTAAATTACGCCTCAGCAGGGTCTTACGTATCATATGCATTACAGACAGTCCTTGTACCGGAAGTCCAAAGGTGGCTACACTGCTCTAAGTTAGAGAAAATTCGACCTAATCATCTGAAAAAGGGCTTTTAAAAATGGCTAATAATTCCTTCGCTCAGATCTCGATATTCATGAACCTATTGTATCGTAGAAATTGAGTCTGCAATTGTTGTTTAGGGCAGTCTTGCACCTTTTACTTGAATGGTTGGGAGGGGTGTTTTAACTGTCATATGTTACTTAGTAAAATAAAAAAGATAAACATTTTTATCAAATCTCTGATGTTCTCAAAAGTGAGTTTAGCCTTACTGTATTCATTTTTGAAAATCATTAGATATAAAAATCAAGCATTTGTTTATTACTGCTTGTTGCGTTTCTTTTGCGTGTCAGTATATATATCAAAACTTTTAAGTTTCCAACACTTCAATGTTACAGTAATCAAAATATCCTTACATATGAAAAAAATTAGGAACATTACCTTTTCGATTAAGACGATCTGTTAATGAGTCCAACATAGATCCCCCTGTTCTTTTATAGATGACCATGATGTTGAATGGATTAAACAACTGTGGTTCTTCATGCGCAGTTTAAACATATCAATCAAATTCAATAAGGAAGTGTTGGGGCTACAAACTTTAATTTATAATTCACTTATGGTACAATTATGGCACATATTGTTTTTGATCAAGTGCATTGTCATTGAAACAGATGCCACTGAGTGTTATATGACTGTATGGTCACTCGCTTGGCTACACATAATTATTTTAATAATTCTCTTAATAAATTGACTCAGACTTCTACAACTGTGTTTTTACTTCATTTTATTATCGGAATTCTTGAGTCTCTAAAATCATACAACTGAAACTTACATGGTCATATATCCGGATTGCTATGCAATGCCATGGCTGGGAATACACCCCACCCCACCCACCCCACCCCCAAATAAACTTTTCAAATTTATAGTAATTATCAATCTAGGTATACACATACAAATACAATCACCATATATATCCATAAATCACAAAGCATAATTTAGAATATTGTAATAGTTACAATGAGATACAGTCACATACACGAAGAGTAAACAAGATCTTGATTATACAAGCTGAATTTAAGGCTATTCAAGGAAAGTGATAACTCAGTCAAAATTAACTGATATGACAACAACTACATGAACATTATACCTCTTCAAGCATTTATTTATGCAAACACTTCTCATGGTGTGAAAACTCATACAACATTCTTGAGCCCAAATGACTAAAGCATACATTTACTAAATATAGATCATTACATCATAAAACAAGTAATACCATGCCATTTCAGTGATAAATCTACAGTAATGTAGACCTCTGCAAAGTGGCCACATGCAAATGTATGCAAAAATACTATTGAAAATTTGTCATGTTAATGACCAAGCTTATAGGATGTTGATCCAAACTGCCCTTTTATTTGATTAATTTACAACAAAATTTCTTTTAAATTTTGAAACGTTACATTTAATAAACCAAAATATACAACATAAACTGGATAACTGTCAGTGTTCAGCTGGGAGATGACGGTGTCCTTAATACGGATACAATTGGAGTCCGGACTGGTTTGGAAATCCTTCCTCCTGTCCTACTGTCGTGGAGGCCTACACACACATACACACAAGGAAAAGGTATACGTCTTGCGCTCAAGACTCTAGATGTGACCGTGTCTGGTACAGGGACATCTACACACAAAGGATGCGGACCTATTAATTACCTATGCACAATATGATGTCAAGGTTTAAACACTGTAAGTTAAAAACTGTGCATACACATGTACATATGGCTTACAAATAGCATAAAGATGCTTTACTACAATATTATACCTTTACTTTACACTTTGCTACAAATATAACAGAACAAAAGACATGCTAAAAGACACGAACGGGACACCGTACAATCATTACTCGAACACTTTTGACTAACTGTACATCCAAATAACGTATTAAGAAATATATAAGATAATGAATCTCAAATAGCAAAACATTTAAGGCTTACTATGTTGAGAAATTCCGAAACTGGTTGTTTTAAGATATTTACAGCATTTATATTTTAATGAACAATAAAAACAAGGCTTACCTCAGAAAAGTGTGACACTACATATTGGCAATAAAAGGTAAACTATGGTGAAGTCTGCCATGACTATTTTATTGCAAAATGTACCAAAATCTAGAGAAGTATAAGAACATCATTCTCTATCAGGACTGCCGTGTCCAACTGCCGAACGGACTCAAACTTACTTTCAAGGTCCAGTGATTTGAGGCTTAAAAAAGGTTAAATATGTACATAGTGAAAAACGGAAGCTCAACAGAGGGAAATAGAATGTTGCCTGCGTGTTCAAATATAGACACTTAACAGAGATGTAGATTTTAATGTGACAATATTTAAAAAAAAATAATAAATGACAATAGGTATCTCCTGTAAAAAAAAATTACAACCAAAAGTTTTAATATCATTATCAAATACTATGTAGATATGAATGTTAATTACCATGTTGATATCAACTGACCAATTTAAGGTGAATTAACATGCCATACATTTCTTTCAAAATTCAGACATTATTACATCCTCACAAAAATATGTAATACAGTTATGTATCTACAACAATTCAAATACATGGAAAAAAACCCAATGATAGTAAAAAAAAAATACATTAACTTTGGGGGAGATTTTTGATTGATTATATATTGTGTTGTAGTGCTTCCCAAGGTAACCACATAGAATTCTAAGCTGGTTCCCCAGAAAAATGCACTAGGAACTCCTTGGAATTACCTGATCCTCTTTGTCCTGGCACTCATTTTACCTTGTAAAGTGCCCCTGTGTCCGACATTGAACTAACTTCAACTGAAAAAGGATCTTGATGGTCAGATTCTCTAGAGCGAAGAGGATTCTTCGAACATGGCGAGGTAGCACTCGTTTAGATAACACTGGTACCTTAGGTTCACATGTCCCTGAACCATTTGCAAGTTTTGTGTTCTTGTCAAGGTTTTCTCCCTGAGAATTCTGTGTCAAAGGGTCATCACCAGGGGTATTTAACATGGGATCCTGGAGGTCTGTTGTTTGGTTGGAATCCTGTTTGGTATGAGTGTCTGTTTGTGTCTGTTTATCAGTACAAGCAGGCGAGACTGTCGTGCGAGTTATAACTGGGCCAAGTAGATAAGGTTGTGGTGATGGTACACGAACATAAGCAATCTTTAATCTGTTCACACGAATGGGTTTACTAAAATAAAAATTTTCTCAGTGTTCTGATCTAAGAGTAATACACGAGAGTCTGAGCATATTTGATGCACTATATGAGGTCCAGAGAACTTGGCTTGAAGATTCTTTGCAGGGCCTACTGCAGGAAAAGACAGGTAAACATAATCACCTTTCATGAGGTGTAAAGGATGAGGGTTTTTATTGGCTCTGGTAACCATAGTATCCTTATTAGCCTTAATGTTGTTTCATACTTCTGTGCGGATTGTATGGAGTTTGTCAAGAAAAGTATCCATGTACTCCTGACATCCTTTCGGTAAAGTATGAAGGTCAGAATTAAGGGTCACTAGTTACAGTGGAAACCTTGGTCTGTATCCGAGCACTATCTCAAATGGGTAATATCCTAAGGTAGAGTTTATGCTCTGATTAATGGAAAACACAGTGGATGAGAGCTTCTTATTCCAGTTTC